CCATTTTATATATGAAATTTTCATGTAAGATTTCATTTGAAAGAAAAATGATGAAACAACAGAAAAGTTTGAAAACCAATTAATTCATGTTTATCTACATGCTTGAGTACTTAAACATTCTGATTCATAGATTTCTACTAGAAGTAAAGAATATAATAATTTTTACTTAAAAGGGCTTAAAATGAACTAGTCTTGAATTCTTTCAGTTCTGCTGATTATAAACAAGGATCAACAAAAGAATATTCCTATGATAATATCAACTAGTTTTTTTATTGAGGTATAGTTGATTTACAATGTTGTGTTAGTCTCTAACTAGATATATATATATATATATATATATATATATATATATATATATATTTATATACCAAATATGACCTATGTATAAAAACAACTATAATTTAAGAGTAATTCACAACAAAATACACGGTTTTAAATGACAGTTACAGAGCCCAGAGTTCAGTTCTGAAAAATAGACCAAATATTTCACCACTTACCCTAAGTAAATGAATGAGAAAAAGAACAGCAACAATAGGGATGAAATAATAAGCCAGGCATGGATGACCTAAAAAGAAAGTGTTTCAATATAATTAACAGATCCCATAACCCTAAAATAGTCCAAATTTTTTACTTCAAAAATAGTATATTATTTCTATATATGTTACGATATTCAAATGGCAGGGCAAAAATGGCTTTGGGATCTGTAAATACTTAGAACTCAAGTGCTTAACTACTCACAACAGAAAATAGAAATTTCAGCAAGACAGATATAGAGCCTTGTTCCTTTAGAAACAGGTAAAATTTTAAAAAGAAAAAGAATGCATTCTAAAATACCAAATTATCAACGAAGCCAACAATTGGCTTTAAAATAGCAATATTTTCAATGGAGGAATTTTGTGTGTTTTTGAAATAAACAATAAATAAATTGAAAAAAAAATAAATAAAATTCAATAAAATTGAAAGTCAGATGTGCACTTAAGAAACCTATGTATACATACATTAACGGTACAGAGAAATTATGCCTTCTAAATATAACCATTTGACAAAAGAATATTCAGAATCTGAGGTTTCAGGAAGTATTGCAATGCTATGTTTATTTCACCTGGTTCATTAATAAGTATCAATATTACAAATTCTTTGAAACACTTAAAATCAG